ATCTTGTGCTACCCTCTCCCCTAATATTAGTACTTAAGACATGCAACTTCACCAAAGTAATCACTTCCATCAATTTATATTGTAGATATTATGTTGAACTCAAAATTTCCTATAATGCACCTCTTAATAAACTTATCTGTTAGATTAGCAATTAGAACAATAACTCTGGCCCCTGACAGCACTTGGCCCCTTACCTAAATCTTGGAATATGTTAGATATTAAATCACTGTACACACTCTCAAGTTATTTATTTATTTATTTATTTATTTATATACAAGAAGGTACACTGGGTTTGTGAGGATACATAGCATGGTATTTACAATCTTGTAAAGCCACTAGTATGTGCAACGTTTCAGGCAGGTCCTTAATCTAACAGATAATTTTAAGTAGGTAAATTCTAGCAGAATTAATAAAATGATAACAGATATCAGATAACAGATATCAGATAACAGATTTTTGCAAGAACAAAAATGAGATGAGAGAGATTAGTAGGTATATTAAAGCACATTGGTAGCTCTGATTGATTGCATTGACAGCTTGATTGGTAATTTAAACAAAGATTAATAAGCACCATACAGCAAATTGATAGCACATATAAGAAGACAGCAATGATCACAATGGTAAAGTTGTTTGGATTAGGTACATAAAGATTTGGAGATTGGGTAGCACTAGATACAGTGCAATTTTAAAGCAACAAGGTAGGAAACTATGAAGATGAAAATAGGTACTTTTTAAGTTTTCTTTTTGAATGGCGCAAAAGTTGGACAGTTTTTCAATTCATTAGGGAGCGAGTTCCATAGACTAGGTCCCTTTATTTGCATAGAGTGTTTACACAGATTAAGTTTGACTCTGGGGTATCAAAGAAATATTTATTTCTGGTGTGGTGATAATGGGTCCTATTACATCTGTCCAGGGAGAGTTTCAGAGCATGGTTTGCATTTAAGAACAGGGTTTTGTAAATGAAGTTGGCACAAGAGAATGTGTGGAGTGAGTTTATGTTTAGCATGTTTAGGGATTTAAACAAGGGGGCTGAGTGTTGTCTGAAAGCAGAATTTGTTATTATTCTGATAGCAGACTTTTGCTGGGTGATGATGGACTTGAGGTGGTTTGCAGTGGTTGAACCCCATGCACAGATACCATAATTAAGATAGGAATAGATTAGTGCATAATATAGTGAGATGAGAGCAGAGTTAAGGTATATAATATCTGATTTTGGAGAGTATACCAACTTTTAGAGACTGTTTTAGTTATGTGTTGGATGTGGGTGCTGAAGTTGAGTCTCTTGTCTAGCAATAGGCCAAGAAACTTTCCATCATTTTTATTACTAATGTTAACATTGTCTATCTGAAGCTAAATTGTATTTGTTGATTTGCTTCCAAATAAGATGTAGTAGATCTTTTCTATGTTTAGTGTTAGTTTGTTGGTTGACATCCATAAGTGGATTTTTTTAGTTCATTATTAACAATATTATTTAGTGTATGTGGGTTGGGGTTTAAGTAGATGAGGGTAGTATCATCAGGAAACAATATAGGTTTAAGAATGTTAGAGACATTAGGTAGATCATTGATGTATATAAGAAATAGGAGAGGTCCCAAGAGGCTGCCCTGTGGCACTCCAACGGTAATTGGTAGAGTGGGAGAGGTTATATCATTGATTGCTTTTCATTGGTGTCTATCACTAAGATAGGATTGGATATAGTACAGGGCATGGCCTCGGATTCCATAATGATGGAGTTTACATAAGAGGTAGTTGTGATTAACAGTATCAAAGGCCTTTCTCAGGTCAATGAATAGTCCAATCGGAAACTCATTTTTGTCAAGGGCTGAGTAAATTATATCAAGGAGACTAATAATTGCATTATTAGTACTCTTTTGGGAGCGGAAGCCAAACTGAGAGGGGCTGAGTATGTCAAATTTTACAAGGTAGGAGTAGAGCTGTTTGTAGATAATTTATTCAAATATTTTTTATAGTATGGGTAGGTTTGATATTGATCAATAATTGTTTATGTCTGCTGGATTGCCTCCTTTATGAACTGGCATTACTCTTGCTTTTTTAAGGATATCAGGGAAGATATGACACTTTAAGGATTTGTTGAACAGCAGAGCTATGGGTGGCACAAGGGCATGGGAGGCGCTCTTCTATACAATGGACGGGATTTCACTGATGTTCCCAGCTTTGGTTTTGAGTGAGTGTATGATGGACACAAAGTCTGTCGGGCTGACTGGTGAAAGGAGAAGAGAGTTTGGATAGCTGCCTGAGAGATGTGTTGGTATGTGTCTGAGTCTGTGGGATTTTTCTGGCAAGTTTAGCACCAACCGATGAAAAGAAGCTATTAAATTCTTTTGCCATTTCTAAATCAGTTGATGGTGTATAGCCATCCTTAGAGAGTTTTATCTGGTTGGGAGTGTTGTTTAGTTCCTAGGATATTAGAGATGGTTTTCCATGTGCTTTTCATGTTCCCTTTTGCTTCTTTGAATTTTCATAATATGAAAGTTTAGCTTTTCTTATGATACTGGTGAGCACTGATGAATACCTTTTAACTACTTCCTTTGTAACTAGGCCAATCCTAAATTTCTTTTCATATTCATGTTTTTTGTTGATTGATTTTGAATATGTCACTTGTGAGCCACGGATTGTTTATTTTTTTGTCAATTACTTGTTTGGTAAAGAGGGGACAGTGAGTGTTGTAGAGGCTTAGAGTACTGGAGAGAAAGAGGTTAGCTAATGAGTTTATATCCTGGGTATTATTGAATTCAGATTCCCAGTTAATATTGTGAAGTGCATTTGAGAGGTGCCTATAGCTGCTTCAATGTGTAGCCTGAATGTGAGTTTCTTGCTTTCTGGTGGTGTTATGTCCATGTTTGCTATGAGGAAGGTAGGATAATGGTCAGTTGTTCTGTCATAGATTACCCCAGATGTAAGGGGAGCTGTTATATTAGTCCATAAGTGATCCAAAGTAGTGGCAGATGTTTGAGTGACTCGGGTGGGCTTGGTGATTGTGGGGATTAGCATACAGGAGTTCATGCTGATACAAAAATAGTCCACTTGAGGGTTATGTTGTAGACCCAGGTCAATATTGAAATCACCTCCTAGAATGATGTGATTTTTGTTGAGATTGTTATTTATGATAAGATTCCTTAGGTTATCTGAGAATGAAGCTATATTGGTATTGGGAAATCTATAGATGCCACCGATAGTCAAGGAGGATTTAAGGGATTTACTGGAGAACTTGGCAAAGGTATATTCACAATAGTCGTCTCTATCACTAATGACACTATTGCATATGACGGTATCTTTGTAATATATTGCTGTGCCACCTCATTTTTTTATTAGGCCTGCAGTTGTGAATGGCTTTATAACCAGCTAAGTTGTAGAGTTGGGTATAGTCTTTACTTAGCCAAGTTTCTGTTAAAATAATGAATGATAATTTAGTACCTAGTGCTGTGAGTAGTGCATTTATATCATCAAAATATGTTTGTACCAAGTAACCTAACATTTTGGTTGTAAACTGATAAGTAGGTGCTATTTAGGAGTTTGTTTTTTGCAAGATTTGCTGTGTAATACCTGCAATAGTGATGATCAATGTGCTGATTGGTGTAAATATGAGAAAGAAGATATCGATCAGGATCAATATCAGTACAGTAGGCATGTAGATGCAATGGGGTCACAATACAATAAGACAAGCAATTATAGGAACAGTTAAATACTATATCTGCTGTAAATAGAAAGTAATTATAGCAAAACACAACAATACATGCAAGTACACAAAAAATAGAAACAATTAAAAGTAGAATAAAGATCACCGAAGATAGCCAAGAAGGATACAGAAGTTAGGTAAAGAGAGAAAACAAAAAATCAGTAGACTGACAAGATTAATATACTGTATAGCAAAAATAATAAGACAAATAATAATTGTAAAGTAAAATAATCTTAAGGATAATTAATTATATATAGCTTAGTTATGAACCTATAATTAGTATGAACTTAAGAAAACAAAATGAGCTCAATAATTAATTTCAATAAATGACATATACTGTAAATCAAATTACAATTAAATTTAAAATTTAAGTGTACAGTGTACTGTGTTAAGTGTTAAGTAAAAGTGTACTCTATATATCTAAAACTCTGAACTGTAATGCCAATCCTGATCTTAAAAACTTCCAAGAAGGTTGTAACAGAACCCACGAGCACCACACTAGAAACAATTACCCATTTCATTATCTACTTCATATTCCAAGAGTGTGACTTAACCAAAGTAGAAATACTCTGCGCATCAAGGGTCCCAAAATATGGAATGACCTTCCCAGTCATCTCAAAGACTGCCCATCTCTCAACCAGTTTAAGAGAAAAACTAAGCACTGTACTACCTAATCAACTCCATGTAACCTACCTTACCTCCTAAATGTCAACCTATGTCTTGCTGTTATCAAACATTAATGATTAATGACTAACTTGTCAAACCGATGATATCTGCCAAGTATAAATTTGGAGAATTGTATGCCATCTGTTTATTTAGTTAAAATAAATCTGCTATTGAATAAATCTGCTAATCTAAATAAATCTTTATCTGTTATTCTGTTGCAATTTTCTGCTGTTCTATTCAACATGTAATTATTGTCATTCTTTATTTTCAACTTCAGTTCAATTCTTGCCTTTGATCTCAATTAGTTTTGTCTAGGTTTTTAAGTTTATTTTTCCACATCTTGCCCAAAACACTGCATACTAGTGTCTTTAATTCAACATTATTTAGGTATAGCATATACTTGCTCTATCTAGAAATCCAACATTATGCTTGTAACTCATTTTGTATGTACAGTATATACTTTTCCATACATAAAAATATCATACATAACATTTCTGGACCTGCCCGAAACTCTATCAGAAAGAACCAGCTAAAACTCTCACTGAGCATATCTACAAGTAGCCCAGCCTTTTCACCCAAGAAGACACATTACACGTACAGTATATTAGAAGATATGAAAATATATGACGTTACCCACCACCTCAACAAACCTAGCGTGAACACTAACACAACACCTCTCAGAACTGCCCAGATACGTCTGACGTTTTGTTTACACTCCACCTTCACTTCCCGCGCGCGCCAAGCCAAGACACAACGGTCTTAATAATTTATTTATTTACTTATTTATTTATTTATATACAAGAAGGTACATTGGGTTTGTGAGAATACATAGTATTGTATTTACAGTCTTGTAAAGCCACTAGTACACGCAACGCTTCGGGCAGGTCCTTAATCTAACAGATGCCCGAAACGCTTTGCGTAATAGTGGCTTTAGGCATTGTATATACTAACACTACCTATAATTCAACCAATCTTTGTAAAAATTTCTTGTATGTATGTACCTTACCTAAATAAACATTTTATTATTTTATTTATTTTATTTAGATAATTTTAAGTAATACAAATACGAATTCCTCTACGAATACCTCTAGGAAGCAAGAAGAGATGTTACAAAAGTTAGAGAACCATTTTAACTCCCTACAACAGCAACACACTGCAACCCAAGAAGAATCACACCAACCATAGGGGACATCAACCTAGCAGAGCAATCTTTTCATCAAAAAACTCTCAGCCATTATAACACCCACTATCCTATGCTTACGGAACAAGTCACAACCAAAAGGCTTAACAATCCTTGGCTTACAAAGGGAATACTTAAATCCATTAATAAAAAACATGACCTTGAGAAGAAGTATAGGTTAGGAACCGTCTCCAAAGAATTCTCAAAGAATTACTCGTAATTCCTATCTAAAATAATTAGACGAGCCAAAACTAAATACTACGAAGATAAATTTACCCAAATAAAGAACAACATTAAAAAACTTGGAGCACAATTTCACAAATATTGGGATCAAAGAAGATTTTTAATAACAAACCAACACTCCTCTCCAATAACGATGGTCAGCTTTCAGCCTCTGATTCTGCTATTGAGTTCAATAGGTTCTTCTCTTCCATTGGGTCATCCCTTGCAAATGATATTCCATCTTCCAGTACTGATGTTAAGGACAATCTTACAGGTAACTATCCACAGTCTCTGTACCTAACGCCTACTAATTCCACTGATGTTACAGACATAATCCTTTCCCTTAAAACCAAGTCTAGTGCCCTTGAGGAGATACCAACTCTTATTTACAAAAAAAACTCCAGATTTTTAGCTCCTGCCATTGCATTGCTCTTCAACAAGTCACTTGAACTCCAAACCTTTCCAGATATTCTAAAAAAAAAAGCGAGAGTAACCCCTGTCCACAAATGTGGTGATCCCACTGATGTTAACAACTTCAGACTATATCAATTCTGCCAAACTTATCAAAAGTATTTGAAAAACTAATCTATAAGCAGCTTTACTCTTATCTAGCCAAACTCAATACACTTAGCTCTTGTCAATATGACTTCAGATACAAAAAAAAACACTAACGATGCACATATTAGTATGATTAACTTGATACATACAGCTCTTGATAAAAAAAGAGTTCACTGTTGGGTTATTTGTAGACCTACGTAAGGCTTTTGACACTGTTAACCACCAAAACCTTCTTCTTAAATTACAACATTATGGAGTCAGAGGTTCTGCGTTCTGCGTCCCTGCAGTACATTAAGTCTTACCTTACTGACAGGCTCCAGTATGTTTCTGTGAATAATTCAATTTCTCCCACCCTACCCATCAACATTGGTGTTCCTCAGGGCAGCATACTTGGCCCTCTCCTCTTTCTCATCTACATTAATGACCTTCCAAATGCCTCCCAACACCTCAAACCAATTCTATTTGCTGACGACACAACCTTCATTTACTCCAGTCCTGACCCTCTTGCTCTAAATGCCACAGTAAATACTGAGCTAAATAAAGTCCATCTTTGGCTAACTGCCAACAAACTCACCCTTAACATTGACAAAACCTTCTATATTCTGTTTGGCAATAAATCCTCTAGTCTTATAAATCTCAAAATAAACAATACCCAAATTTGTAACAAATTAGATGGCAAATTCCTTGGCATTCTCATTGACCACAAGCTGAATTTCCAGGGACACATTCTAAATATATCAAAAAAAGTTTCAAAAACTGTGGGCATTCTTTCTAAGATCAGATATTATGTACCACGCCCTGCCCTGGTGACTCTCTATTACTCCCTTATCTATCCTTATCTCAACTATGGTATTTGTGCTTGGGGTTCTACTACCCAAAATCACTTACGTCCTCTAATTACCCAACACAAAGCCGCTATTAGAACAATATCCAACTCTGGCCCCAGACATCACTCGGTACCCCTACTCAAATCTCTTAATATGTTAGATATTAAGTCACTGCACATTCTCTCATGTGTATTATACATATATAAAACGCTAAACTATAATGCCAATCCTGATCTTAAAAGCTTCATAGAAGGTTGTAACAGAACCAGGGAGCGTCAGATCCCTGATGTTAACAACTACAGACCTATATCAATCCTGCCAAACTTGTCAAAAATTTTTGAAAAACTTATATACAAGCAGCTTTACTCATATCTAGCCAAACTCAATATACTTAGCCCTTGCCAATATGGCTTCAGACCCAAAAAAAGCACTAACGATGCACTTATTAGTATGCTTAACTCGATTCATACAGCTCTTGATAAAAAGGAGCTCCCTGTTGGGTTATTTGTGGACCTGCGTAAAGCTTTTGATACTGTCAACCACCAAAACCTTCTTCTTAAACTACATCATTATGGAGTCAGAGGACACTCCCTACAATACCTCGAGTCCTACCTTACTGACAGGCTCCAATATGTTTCTGTGAATAATACAATTTCTCCCACCCTACCCATCAACATTGGTGTTCCTCAGGGCAGCATACTTGGCCCTCTCCTCTTTCTCATCTACATTAATGACCTTCCAAATGCCTCCCAACACCTCAAACCAATTCTATTTGCTGACGACACAACCTTCATTTACTCCAGTCCTGACCCTCTTGCTCTAAATGCCACAGTAAATACTGAGCTAAATAAAGTCCATCTTTGGCTAACTGCCAACAAACTCACCCTTAACATTGACAAAACCTTCTATATTCTGTTTGGCAATAAATCCTCTAGTCTTATAAATCTCAAAATAAACAATACCCAAATGTGTAACAAATTAGATGGCAAATTCCTTGGCATTCTCATTGACCACAAGCTGAATTTCCAGGGACACATTCTAAATATATCAAAAAAAGTTTCAAAAACTGTGGGCATTCTTTCTAAGATCAGATATTATGTACCACGCCCTGCTCTGGTGACTCTCTATTACTCCCTTATCTATCCTTATCTCAACTATGGTATTTGTGCTTGGGGTTCTACTACCCAAAATCACTTACGTCCTCTAATTACCCAACACAAAGCCGCTATTAGAACAATATCCAACTCTGGCCCCAGACATCACTCGGTACCCCTACTCAAATCTCTTAATATGTTAGATATTAAGTCACTGCACATTCTCTCATGTGTATTATACATATATAAAACGCTAAACTATAATGCCAATCCTGATCTTAAAAGCTTCATAGAAGGTTGTAACAGAACCCATGAGCACCACACCAGAAATAAATACAGTTTTGATATTCCTAGAGTACGTCTTAATCAAACTAGAAATGCTCTGCAAATCAAGGGGCCCAGAATGTGGAATGACCTTCCCAACCATGTTAAAGACTGTACCTCTCTCAACCAGTTTAAGATAAAAACTAAACACTACCTAATAAATTCCCTGTAATCTACCTCACTCCTCTATTGTCAACCCATGTCTGTTATTTTCTTTTTTTTTCTTTTTTTTAATCAACACTGTTTGTCAACCTATTGTATTTGTGCTGCTTTTTCAGTCATGTTCCCCTTTTTTTTTATCTTTATTTGTATTTGTTCTCAACATCTTTTATTCTTTATGCTCAATTAGTATTAAGTTCTAGATATTAATGTTTTTTCTTGCCCGAAACGCATTGCGTAATAGTGGCTTTAGGCATTGTATGTACTAGCTCTATCTATATATCAATCCATTAATGTAACATCACTTGTATGTATATACCTTACCTGAATAAACATCTGAATCTGAATCTGAATCTGAACCCATGAGCACCACACCAGAAATAAATACAGTTTTGATATTCCTAGAGTACGTCTTAATCAAACTAGAAATGCTCTGCAAATCAAGGGGCCCAGAATGTGGAATGACCTTCCCAACCATGTTAAAGACTGTACCTCTCTCAACCAGTTTAAGATAAAAACTAAACACTACCTAATAAATTCCCTGTAATCTACCTCACTCCTCTATTGTCAACCCATGTCTGTTATTTTTTTTTTTTTTTTTTTAATCAACACTGTTTGTCAACCTATTGTATTTGTGCTGCTTTTTCAGTCATGTTCCCCCTTTTTTTTTATCTTTATTTGTATTTGTTCTCAACACCTTTTATTCTTTATGCTCAATTAGTATTAAGTTCTAGATATTAATGTTTTTCTTGCCCGAAACGCATTGCGTAATAGTGGCTTTAGGCATTGTATGTACTAGCTCCATCTATATATCATTCCATTAATGTAACATCACTTGTATGTATATACCTTACCTGAATAAACATCTGAATCTGAATCTGAATCTGAATTGTTTCTTGGGCACAGTAATACACTCTGTAATAACATCATACTTTATAACATTAGAACATAAGGTACTCATATATGCTCTCTTCTTTATCATACATTGTTCATTACTTCCCACCTTTTGAACCGAGAGGATTGAACCTTCTGGGCATGGGGACCACGGGGCCGACCCACTACATCCCCGACATGGTCCGCGATTCACGAAGCTCCACGAACAGCGCCGCGCCTCATCGACACGTGGGCCAGTACTCTATACTGCATCTCCAGTCTGCTTTACTGTGTACACCATCCCCACTATTATGGTCCCAGATCTGACGCTCCCTGATCCTATGGGGGCCTTCGACATCCCAGGCTCGTAAGGCAGGGGCCCCCTGCCCTACTCAGCAAAGCTTAAGGTAAGAGAGTTTTCTGTTCAAGTTAGTCAGGACCGTCCACAGTGCTGGCCTGTGATTAGCGCCGTCCCTCGCGGTCCGTTCGTGCCGCCTT